CGGCATGTGACGTGGCCGCAGCACGGCCCCGAGTTGCGTGGAGTGCGAGGTCCCGCCCAACGCTGCTTGCAGCTTTAATTTTCATTTCATTCTTAATTTCTTTCTATCCTCTAAATTCCTGTTCCTTCTTCTTTCAGTACTTCCTTTCTTCCGTCATTCACCTTTTCTTACAAACCTTTGTTTGCTCATTTCCTTGTGTTTTCCCCTCAGTCAAGAGGCCTTTCTTAGTCTGTGTTCATGTGGTCATCAGCTACGGACAGTACCCTGGTCAAGGGCACTGACTGGAGAATTAACCTAACATACATGTTTTTCTGTGGGCGGCTGAGGCTCAGAGGTAGAGTTAGTTTCTGTTTGATGGGCTTTGCCATCACTGAATGAAATGTGTGTGAAAGGGTGAATGTGTCATGTAGTGTGAAAGCGCTTTGAGTGGTCAGAAGACTAGAAAGGTGCTATACAAGTACATCAATCAATCCATTTACCATTACCATTTACCATGGTGGGGGATACTGCAGCACGCAGACACAGAGAGGACATGCAAACTGCCCCAGGGTTAGAACCGTTTTCACCATCCATAATTAGTTTGGTGTGCTAGCATAATTAAATTAGCACTAAACAGGCTGATGGGAGGTAAATAATGATTGAAGCAATGTTAAACCCCCTTCTGGTCCACACGTATCAGGGCGTGACACGGTTGCTTCATGCACCAGCATCATGTGTAGACCACACTGTGAAAATTTCACGTAAATCAGATGATGATGGCCACAGGAGACTTACTTCCTATTTCCAGTAGGTGGCGCTAAGACTATGACTGAATATTGGTATGTAGATGTTTTTAGGGAGGGACTGGACAAAGTACACTAAAGTTATGACTTCCTGTTTCATGACAATACGTCAAAATTCAGGGCCAAGCCATAGATAGTCACAAGTCACAAACCTTTTATACGGTCTTAAGATTGAACTGATCTGATTCTGCCTTTACCACGGCCCACCCTGCTCTAACCACTTCATTTTCTTTCTTACTTTTCTCTTCACTTACTTTGCAGATCCCTTACTCCACTCCCACTTACTTTCTTCCTTTGTTTGTTCCCTTCAGTCGTTCATTTCTTAGTTCATTTTGTGCAGTTTGTGTATTCCTTCCACCATTCTTACACTTAACACTACAACTGTTCCTTTGTTCCTACGTATATGCTCTTACATTTTTCTTTAAAGAAACTTTCCTCCATCTCTTCCTGTGATCTTTTAGCCAGACACAGTTCTTCATTCCTCTATTCTCTATTTGTTTTCATATGATATTTCTTTGTTTGATACATTTATTTACTCCTCATTCCCGCCACTGTTTATGTCTTCCTGCATTCCTCCAGTAACCATAAATAATATCTCAGTGGCTCTGCAGTGAACTCTGATGGCAGACAGACTGTCAGTGTGACCCAGCAGGGAGCCAGAGGACGGATCAGTTTCAGCTGACTAATGGAGGATTTGGCTGCAGTCTGAGAAACACAGACAGACACCATCCCACCACACAGTATAATGTCATTTAAACCAAATAAACGGCTTTGATGTGATGTAACATGCTTCTGGTGTCCAGCTACGAGGAACTTTATAAGGAGCATTTATAAGCAAATAACATGCTGGTAAATTTCAGAATATTTTACTATGATAATGTCACCACTGCTACTGATGGTGGCTTTGATTTTACACTGTGTCTGTATCTGTGGCTGGTGTGCTTGTTAGGCAAGGCTGGAAGGTTTATCACGTTGGCTCTGGAGACCATCTCCTGTAACACTGCTGAAGTGAACTGGTCACAGCTAAAAGGCAGTGATCATCACACCACGTTTTCTGGAATATATATATATATATATAACACTCCATGATTCATATATTTCTTTATTTTCTTGGATAGATAAGAGCAGCCCATCAAGGTACTTTGACCTTGCATCATGCCCCACTCTCTTTTAGAAGAAAGCAGTCCCTCTAATTTGACTGATGGGAAATTCTGAAGTCATTGTACTCTATTGCTTTTTAGCTATTAGGTGCCAGAATCCTATGGCCAGTCAGACAATTATGTTATGTCAGTCTGTGTGTCCTACTCCTTTCAGTCTACCTCCAGCACAGAGCAAAAAGGGGCAGGTCAATTATCTATGAATTGTTTGGAAAGATTTGCTCGTCAACCCTGTATAAAAATAACTGAGATCATTTTAGTGTGTGTTTGTTCCCTGCCTGTGCTGACTGGGGAATTGAAATGGTTCTCATGTTTCATTTGCCAGAAGGCTCAATGAATCATGAAGCAATTGGTCTTCTATGTGCCAGAATTAAATTCTACAGTGTTCCCATTAAGGTTGTGGTTAAACAACTGCTGTGATACTTGTATAAAAACAGACAGTTTCCACCATGGAAACCACTACAGCACTAGTGTAGAGTGATATTTGAACTGCTACAGTAACTAACCTGCCGGTGGTGGGTCGTGATAGGCTGAGTCTCTCCATTACGGGCAGGTAGAGAGAGTCGGGCATCTTCTCACTGCGACACGCCTCGATGCTCAGATACTTGAATATGTGAACTTTACCCTTTATACAGATCTGAAAGGGAAAATAAAGATTCAAATGAAGTTTCTCTTCTTCTATCATCTCGACCTCCGTTCAAACAGACACCAACCTGACTGCTGAGTCACTCAACTCTTAGTTATTGCAGCTGGTGCTTAACATTCCCAGAGTGTCTTTTGTCCTTCAGTCTCTGAGACGATGGTACACACAGTTTGATATCAGCTCTCTATAAAAATATAATGCCGTACATAATTGAAATCTTATCAGGTATAGCAGACTGCCCACTGTATTGACACTATTGTTATTGTGGGTAAAACTTTAGATTATCTGTCTCACAACTGTGTGTCACACTGTTACACAGGTTTCTATGGCATGGGCTTATCATTGTAAGCTAACTGCTCCATATTGTCAATTAAACATACTGTACATACATACTTTCATATATACATACATACAAACATAACCGGGTGTAAAAGATTAGGGCTGCACAACTAATTAAAGTATTATTAAAATCACAGTATGGCCAAGTGCTGCTATTTGTGGGATAAAGGTAAAATGTAACTAACAGCATTAGAATGAATTGATGTAGTACTGCAGAGATCCATATTGCAATATCTGTCAAAACAATCACAATATGATTTTTGTACCATATTGTGCAGCCCTAGAATATCTGTTATAATTAATGTGGATAAATCAGAGAAAATTAACAATTATTGTTAATAACTACAACAAAATTGTACTGATAACTTAGCACCAGAGCATAGGAAGACATTTTAAATAACAACCAGACGTTATATAAGACAAAACAGGAAATGGAGCAAACAAACGAAGGGTCAGGTCACATAAGGTCAGTGTGTGTGTGCGTGTGTGTGTGTGTGTGTACCTGTGCAGGTGGACTCTGCAGTGGGTTGTTTTCTAAATGGAGGGACTGGAGCTGTTTCATGTTCCTGTAACACACTGGGATGGTCGACACCTTGTTACAGGAGAAGTCAAACTTCACCAGAGGAAGGTCAGCCAGGTCTGCAGGAAGAACACACACGCACAAACACACACACAAATCTGTTAAGTTAGTTAAACACATTTGGTTATCCCTCCTTAACTGGCCGAAACGTATGAATGTTTTCTTGGGCAATTACATTTGAAAAAGTATAGGTTGTATAATATTTGAGGACACTGACATTATGGTAAAATGCTAAATGGACCTGTACTTGTATAGCCACCTTTCCCCTAGTCCCTTCCGACCACTGCAAAGTGCTTTTACACTACGTGCCACATTCACCCTTTCAAACATATTCACCTCCAGTGATGGCAAAGTCCCATTGAACAATCAAACAACAGAAAAACTAACTCCATTTCATACCATACCAAATGCTGTGCAATCGGGAGCAATTTGGGGTTCAGTTATGCTTGCTCAAAAGGTAACTTCGACACGTGGGAGGAAGGAGCCGGGGATGCGAACAAAAACCTTTGTCCGATTGGGGGAGCAACCCGCTCTGCCTCGTTGAGCCACAGCCGCCCAACGCTCAGTGAATCCACAACCACAGCATGACATTCACAACACATGTTGAGGCTCTAGCTCGCATGTTGGAGCAATTATTTACAAGAATCTTAAACTCTTACTACATATGTAGCTTTATGGCTCCAATGTTTTAAAAGGGATTAAATAGTAGGGGGATGGGGCTTT